CGGCTTTGAGTATATAACAAAATATCTGGCCCCAGTTGTTCAAAGGCTGGATAACGCTATCCACCGGATAAATCGCTATCCAGTGGATAAGTGTTAACAGAACAAACCACGCTATCCACCTTTCGAACAACCCGGGCCTGTATTTCAGCGCCAAATGGAGGTTTCATACTGCGAACGCCACTTCCGGCCAAGGTGTGAAAGCTTGGTTGCTCAGCTCAAGATGCCGGTTAAAATCTTAACACGGTTTGTTGTTGTTATTGCATTATTGGCCGGATAAAGGAGCAAAACTTCACTAAAGGTAAAAAATGCTTAGAAAATTAGGGGTCTTCGCTTTAGAGTTTTTGGGGCCTTAGGGTCTTAGTTTTAGAGACACCCGTTGTGCAGTCTTTTGCTGCGAACGCTCCGTGTGCCCAGCAAACTTGTCGACTAGGGTACAGTGGGTAGCCGATCTGTGATCGTAGAACTGTTTCACTTATTTCGAAAATGCTGGTTTTCTGCAGAGGAAATTTGCTGAGAAGTTAATAGCCGAAGTCCTTCGATGTGGTAAAAGACGGAGTCTGAATAACTACTGTTCCTTGATCAAAGTCTTTTCGTGTTTATTTTTAACTTTCACTTTTTTCATAACCGGCGTAAAAAATGTTTCGATCTATGAATTCTCTAAGCCTAATTTAACAACTCAGAATGTAACTTATTTCCCCTGTCCCGATATTATCATTCACATTTTGTCATCCCGGGTTCGAACTTTTCTCTTCTTTTTCATTGGGATCGCATCCACTTCAGTAGCTAGAACAACGGTGAGTTACTCAACTCAATGTGAACTTTTTATTGGTGATGGAAAAAATACACAGTTTTTGGAGTGACCTTCTCCTTTAAGGGACGACTGGCCATGACAAAATGCATTGGATTCAAAAATGGCCTCAGGAGTTGAAAATACAGGATTATAACGAAATCATGTTAACCAGGCAAATTCATGGCCATTTAGAACAAAATAGTTATTTTGACCGCTTCCCTTTCTATTTGTCCCTATGAACGGTTCGAAATATGATTTGCTCACGCCGGTCACCGTCCCAGCCCAGAGACATAGCACTACAGCTCTCTGTCTTATCCAGAAACGTGCTTTAATACGTCTATATACAGTCAGACTGTGCTAAGTGAGGGACTGTGTAGGGGCCTAAATGTATAGAGTCGCAAATGAAAGGTCCGTGGAACTCCTGATTAGAGCCCGAGGATCTAAGTGTTTCTTTTGTCCTCTTGGTGTACGGACCAAAAGGTCAATCACCGTTCCCTGGCGCCACTGAGGTATATGCACCGGAGCCCTGGAGCCGTATGGAGCTGGAATTCCAAAATGTTTGACGTGTGACTTGTAATACACGAGCACCGCAGACATATAAGTGCACGCCGAAGTGAAAGTACAACCGTTGCGTGGTAAACTACTTGTACACTATGTAGAAGAAAGATGGCTGTTGAACCATTCAGATAACTGGTCCATGCAATCCTCAGCTTGTTTTGACCAATGAACATACTCAAGGTGAAATTTTTCCCTCATTATTCGAAGTAATGTTGCCATCAACAAAGTTCTATTCTGACTCAGAATCCGAACTTGAACTGCGAATTTCGATGGAAGACTTCCTCGACTTCTTTAAGGATTCCATGAAATCTTTAACGAGAACTTTGGGAGGTACTATGTCTGAGGAAAACAAAAGTTTCAGTCTTAATATTTTCTTCAGTAAAAACTCAATGACTAAAGAAAATTGTCAAGCAGTGTACTTTCTCCAGACCTTCCAGGTCATACCTCTTCTGAAGAAGGAATCCACAAAATACTCGAGGCGTTTGGTTGCTTATTACCTCTTTAATAACAAATTCACCCGTAGGTAACTATAGGGACTGCATCCAGATGCTTTAAACGGCAAATGAAAAACTACTCGTTTCATTTAATTGCCGGGTTCTTGGAAGCATGATTATGTAAATTAACACATGGACCTTTTTACCGATTTTTACTTACTAATCTGCTACCAATGGCGGGAAATTGTTTTCTTACAAACGAAACCTTCCCCTGCGAGAACTGAAGAAATTCTCATTACAGACCAACTTACGGGAATCTCTCAGAAGTCGAAAATGCCCCTTCAATCTGAACAGTCTCCACAGTGCTGGTGTGTTTGCATATGATTAATTGTGAGGCCCGTGATAACAGTTTATTTCACTGTTGGTTAAAATATACTTGATCATCGAAACGTAAAAGACCCGAGTATATTGTAAACTCTAGACCAGACCAAGGTACTCAGTAAACCACCTAAACTTTGTTCATCGAATTCTCAGTAAATGTAGCCCGGGCATGTGATTTTAATAAAGTAAAACACGTTTTACCTGCTAAAAATTGAAGAGCCTCATCGTCTTCAACGACCTTTGCTGGAATTAACAGTGAAAACATCTCTTACGCATACAACATAATACAATAAAAATCCTATAAACAAGAATATATCACGTCATGATAGCAGTGGATGTGACTTAATTCTCATCTATAATGTGGCGAAGTAATTTTTAGCAGTTGGTAGTACACATATTGCAGACTGTTTCAAGTCTGTCTACTCATCATTCCTGGCTTAGGTAGCTTTGATTTCTGTAGCAATTACAGAGCTACAACTTTTGTGAATTCTCCTAAAGGCCGAAGTGTAGCAGCTCTATATCATCATAGTGTAACAGCTGTTATTGTTTTTTCGGGCTAGGGGCACTGTTTCTATCATTTGTTCTATTGTCCTCTCAAAAGGTATCAAGCCATTCCTGTGAGACCATTCATGCGAGAGATGCTCTCAGACCCCCAGAGGACACATCAGTTGATCCATCTTTAGTAACTAGTTTAACATCATGCACCCAAGAACAAAACACAAGGACAACTCACTGTCAAGTTTGAACCAGTGTATGATGACAGTGAACATCCCACGCAAGAAAGTGATCAGCCTGTAGGTGACTATTGATTCAATTACGACTACACTATACACCCAAGGCACAACAATGACTGATGATAATGACGAAGCATTTTAATAGTGTTGTGATGTGTACGTATACCATGCTTATTAAGAGATTGTCAAATCTGCATCAACTGGTGTGTATATTAGTGCGATAATTTTAAAACTGAAAGTAATTTGACTCGTGATTAGTGATTTGAAATTGGAGAGTGTTATCCCTGCTTTCATCAGTTGCTGCACTATTGTAAATGGTGATAGTAGATTTACAGGATTGAATGGCTGTAATTTTTTGCAAAACAAATTAGTAAATGTTGTGACACAGCTTTCTACTCGCAGAATTTATCCTTACTTTGCAGGATGCGTTACATTGATTCCCACAAAACACACATATATAAAGTTAAATTTTGAACAAAATTTGAAAGGAATGGTGCTTGCAGTGGCATTCTAGTACGGTACACTTCTCCCATCACTTTCTTGCTGGCCTTCTCATCATCAAGTGATGTTAGGCATACATCTGTCCCTTGTTTGCATGCTTCTTTTTTTCTGAATTGCTGGCACAAATTTGCTGCTTTCTTGCAACAGTTAAATTGTTGCCAAATAGTAAAATCAACCCACTTTGTAGTTGGCAAATGCACCAGGGGTCTGGGGTCTAATGTGAATAGTGCTCGTCACACAACGCAATAGCTGTTATCGCAGTTTAGTCTGTGGTCAAATATCCTTTGTTGAAGAAGACAAATGACATGAAAGGGTTAAAGATTATTTCCAGTTGGTGCTGCGCAGTCTCAGCACCCTTATCTTTATAAACATTATAAGTCTCACTCAATGGAATGCCAATCAGTGTTATTCGTTACAAACCACATACCTTATCTGAGACCTTTCAAATTCCTTTTCCAACAGCTTCATTGATTTTAACAGCTGTGAAGTTGTTTCATCGAGTGATATGAGAAAAAATGAAGCAGAAAGCTTTGCATCCATAATAGCAGTTGACATGACACTTTGAATTTACTTCATGTAAGTAGTTTCAAAATGTTAACATTTTGTGATGTCTTACTTGAAAATCAAAAAATGTAAACAAACTTGCGAGAGTGCGCAGTATGGACTGGAAATCATCTTTAACACAAACCAGAATTAACCTTTTCAACAGTAATTTACTTCTTTGTACATCAAACTGCTGATAAATGTAATAACAGTTATTGCCTACTGTTTTCTCTATATTGCACCCAATTTTACAAAGGTTATCTAGACACAGGTTTTTGTTAGATGGTTCTATGGCTTTTATTTGCCCAGCATAGTTATCTTATAAATTTTGTTGGTGAAGTTTGAATGTTTGTTTTTCTCCAAAACTAATGCATGTTCTGTAAAGTGAAGAGTTATAACTTTGATAAGTTGAGGTTGAAATGCACCATGGGAAATATCCATAACAGGAATTTTACAGTGGCATACTGCAGTTTTTCCGAGACTCAGTAGTGTGTGCCAAGATTTCCTGCCAGGTGGCAGTATTAAATGCGCATGTAAATATGACGCAATTAACACTAAGAAGAGATGAAAATAACTTCAGCATTGAATTGCATTAAACTACTTTGGTATACCAAGTGAGAGTTTCAAACTGCTTTCAAACATGTGGTGAAGCCAAGGACCAAGAAAATATTACAAAAAAAGGTCGATAAACAACCAATAAAAGAGTTCTAATTTACTCTTGCTTTCTTGTATGCTATACATGGCATCACATGAGCGCATGCTTAAATAAAAGGCACGAAGTTCAATTCCCGTCCAAGGTTGTAAAAGTCAGTCTTTGATCCGAGATTGCTCAAAAATCTACCATACAGCCCATGATGAAATTTTCACAGCTGATTTGTCGTGGTTTATTGCATTGAGAGACAAAATTTAAAAAAAACTGTAAGACAGAATTTGATCTATTTTTGAAATAGGCCAAATTTCACAGTTTTTAGTTTGCCAAAAATGTGCCAAACAGATTTTTATTTTACTTTGCATAAATGCTTAATCAGAGCCAATTTCTTATTCTCGAAATTTTGAGGTGGGGTCATGTGGGTAGATTTTGAGAAAAACATCATTAAACCTACTAGTGCCCAGTCTCTCCTTAGGTGCACGGTTGTTAGTTTTGGCCATTTGTTGACATTAACAATGTTTAAGTTTCACTTACAATGGTAAAAGACTTCAGCAAACAGTAAATAGAGAAAGGAAAAACCCACTTGGAATGTTTTTGGTCTGTTATACTCCATCAACTCTGTAGTCAGCCAACTTAAAATAGCTACCTAATTTATCATACCCAAGAAAGTTTATGGGTTTGCAATGAAGAACAAAGCTGCTCTTCCCAAACCCCATCATTTGGTCACATCACTTTGTTGTTTTACAGGATACAACTGAGAAAAGTACTTATCAAGATGTCTATAACATATGCAAGACTTCATTAAGCGTGCTTTACTTAATTGCATTTTGATGCCCTGCAATGTTTTGTGCGAACAGACAGCTAGCCACAATGTTTATTGCCAAAACATTTGAGACTATTTCAGACTTTTGCCACATGTGCCCATACTTAAGTGATGCTTAACCCATACTTAAGTGATGTGTATCCCTGCAGGCAGCCAGGTGGTAACAGACCTTGCAGTGCATTATTTGTTTCTGGAGTTTCCTCTCAGATTAAATTGTTGTCCTTCACCATGTACAGTAACTTCTACAATATGCAAAGAAATACTCACATAGGCCTTTATATGTCAGCTGCCTTGAGTCACTCTCCTGTTTATGAGCAGTGACAGCAAGATAATCTACAAATAGTTCCTGCAAGAAACCACAATCTTATCTTTAATCAGCTATACATATGTAATCACAGCTGGATCTAAACCCTTAGCCTCTGATTAGTAGATGTTTTCAAGAAATTGGAAGGTAATAATTCAAAATCTTCAGTCTTCATTATATGCAGATAGATCACTTAATAGAGACCTTTCATATCCAAAACATTTAAGAACTTGCTCCAAAAGGAAGTTATGAAGAAAAAACAATCTTTTTTTCCAATTAATCACTCCTAATTGCCTGTCTACTCTCTCAACTTTATATTATTTATATTAGTGATGTTAACAGTAGTCAGTCATCAACAGTTGATGCTAGAGTGGTTTTCACTTGAGTTCTGAGTGAAACCAGAACCAATTGTGACTCATTCCCACATGTTTCTCTGCACTTTGCATCAGCTACATGTATTTACTTCAGGATTTGACTGGTTCACTGAATTGTCTGACTGTGTTCTTTGTGATTGGATAGCGGGATAACATAATCATTGGTTTTGGTTTTGCAACGCTCAGGTGAAAACTGCTCTAATTGAGTAAGTAAAATTATTAATAGTGATTACCACAGACTTTTATTTATGATTGGTTTCAATTAAAGACCAAGTTTGCCACTAATGGGAATATTCAGTGACATTAGTCAGTGAAACTTAGTCAATACCAAACAATATCAATTAAATAATATGTGAGAATTTCATTATTTTGACCAAAAAATTGATTTATAATCATTGACTTTCCTTACATAGTTGGTCAGGCTGTCAAGACCAACAGCAATTGATACATAAGAGGTTGGAATTTTTGGAGGTTATTCGCAATTCCTGTAAGAACAATAAAATTGCCCCCCTCCCCACTAAATTTACATTGCAAGGGCATATCTTGGCCAGGAAATTGTGGGCAAATAACATTGTTCCCACAGTGTTTTGTGCTCTCACATGGCTTGCACAACTCTCACATCTTGCAAGGTGACAAACCAAGGACAAAATCCACAAGAAGATCAAGGCAACGAATCACAGAAAATAGTCGAATCTGTATTTAAAACAACCTTACCTGAAACTTTCACTGGGTATTCTAAAGCAAGGATTCTTAAAACACAATTACAAGAGCAATACTAACAAAAACATGGTAAATTACACTAATGCTTACCCTACCCCCTAACACTAGTTACAAATTTACATTACATTACATTCACAGTCAGCTAGATCTAATTAAGGGTATGGTTGATAATATAAACCCATAATAATTTGTACCGAAACTTTTATATATCAGTTTATGTATATATAATATATACCCCCTACTTAGCTATTAAGAAAAATATTTGTAAACATGTTTTGCCATTTTTTGTAATGAGTAGATTCTTTTTTATTCTTTTTTGCGATTAAAAGTTCTAGTTTTTGAATTTCTGTTGTTTTCGCCTTCAGTAAGGATAAAGGTGGCTTGATATTTTACAACGGCATAAATAAATGGTATATTTCCCAAGAATGATTATGCGATTTAACAAACAATTCCCTTGGTTGTTGTCAGAGATACCAAAAAGAATCGTTATTTCATCAAGCTTATCAATTTTCATATTGAAAGTATTTAACCGAGAAATAACAGAAAGCCAAAAGTTTTTAGCATAGGCACAGCTGACTAGAAGATGCTCAAGAGCTTCTTCATGATCTTCACAAAAAGTGCACATCTGAAAAGGAACTATGTCTAAATTCATTTTATATAGGATTCTATTAGTGTAGAGAATACAATTTAAGATTTTGTATTGAAAGGCTCTCATTCTGGTGTCAAGAGTGACTTGACCCGGTAGTTGGTAAATATTTTTCCACTCTATAATACCAGAAATACTATATAAGGAATTAAACTTAGATTGGGCAGTAGGAGGAATCTGGATTCATTTGACCGGGATTGAATAGATTGCTTTTGAATTCATTCTAGTTATATCTTGAACATCATCGTCTGAGACATTTTTGTCAATTTGGTTATTATTCTCTCCATCTTTAAGGAGCAGTTTCCAGTTTGGCAGAGTGGTGCAAAAAATGCCTTGTAGGAGGAGGTAATCTGACAAGGAGAAATTTTTCTCTCTAAAAACATCCCAACTTTTTGACTTAGAGTTGTTTGAGAGGATGTCTCCTATTTTCACAAAACCTGCTTCTTTTATTTTCTTATTGTATATTGATTGCTTGTTAATCAAGAAGTTCTGGTTGTTTCAGATGATCTCATTTAAAACGTCCTGTTTTGTAGCTATTATATGGCGATTGAAGTCAGACCAAGCTTCAAGACATTCTTTATAAAAAATTGGTAACTTGCAGGGTAGGCACAACCGATTGAGATTGCACTGAAGCAAAAACTAGTTCCACAACAAAACTATCCATGGGCTAGCATTATCATTTAAATACCTTTTAAGACATGCAATTCTTTGAGCTAATTAAAGATTCAGGGTGAGACATTTTGAAACCAGCATCTTCATATTCACTGATTAGGCCAGCCTCTTGAGTCGCTTTTGTATCTTACATAACCAGGGTCTGAAACTGTGACCTGCTAGTAACCAATGCAATTTTCAAGGCTAGTAGCCGGCAGGTAAATGACTTTTACCCTGGTGAAAATCCTCCCAGGATCTTTGAGGACATTTGAAGATCTTCAAGGACCTGCCAAAGATCATTAAAGATAAGGATCTTTGCTAGGATCCTTCAAGATCCTTGAGGATTCAATGAAGATCTTTGAAAGATCTTTAGAGAATCTTTTGAAGGATCTTAGAAAGATCTTTGCTTGGATCTTTGCTGGGATCCTTGAAGATCCTTGAGGATTCAATGAGGTTCTTTTAAAGATCTTTTTCCATTGACTCCCAGGGCTTTTTGCCAAAAACGCATTTTTTGAAAAATTTGTCCTACGGTGTTGTAAGATTATAACACTGTGGGACAAATTTTTCAAAATTCACTCAAATCTTGTTTAAACTCTCCAGGATGAGAAAAAATGACACCATCGAATGTTCAAGAGTCTTTATTCGATAAATTACCCATACATTGAACTAAATGAACGTCAACTCCTGATCTCCATACAGACTCTTACATTTTGGCCACAGTTCTCCATACAAACTCTTATATTACGCTTGGGTGACCTGAGATCTAACCAAATTTTATGGATGGACAATAACTTCAAAGGAAGACGTCAAAATGTGTTGGTGAAATGTTCAGACATCATGACCGAACATAATGTGAAATTGGCCGGACATATTCAAAATTTGGTCAGACAATGTCCGATGATCGACTGTTATTTCCGGCATTGAAAATAGATGGCGAAATTATGCAAAGAAACTGGCAAATTTTGCAGGCTGCTGGCACTTATGGAAAACCCTGCAATCCTAAAGTGCATTGCACAGTATATGCAACAAATGGCGGATATAGGGTGAACCAGCTACAATATTGTTGGTTTTCATCCCAGGAATCAGTTTACATCCACTGCGAAGAAGAAGTGCAAAAGTTGACTTTGTGTATAAATTAAAAAACCATTCAGGAAGAGGTAATTTTGTACTGATTTCTAGACTGTTACAGAGAAGATTGTATCCATGTCACAGAGTATATGTAAGTTTAGATATAGTGTTTGTTGCATTTCTTTCTCTATTTCTTTACATGTAAGCTCATATATAGTATTCATTTCATTTCTTTCTCTATTCTCTAATACTATTTTCGTTTCCTCTTATTTGTGTCACATCAAGCAAGTGAAATTTTGTCAAAAAAAAGTTTTGTTACTGATCGTTTCCCACAATCACTATGTGGATTATATGTGGGTTTTACTTGCCCAAGCTCCTTCTCTCAGACATGCAGACAGGTGAAAGGTTTTTGCTCTGAGTCAGACTGGACAAAGTATAAAGAAAGAAAATAAATGAATAAGTAAGATAGGTTAGCAGTTATTCAAAGAGATAGAGTCTTAATCTCTAATCATTTGCTCCCATCTCCTCATAACTCAAATTTCAAATAACTAAAGTCTTTCTGGATTTCCCTCCAAGATTTGAGTCATAGGAGGGGAGTCAATTGTAGATTGGGTTTGCACATTTTCAACACGACTGCCTCATTAAGAATTGAAGATAAACTTTACCACAAAAAAAGTTCTTCTCACTACAGATACAAGCACCTTCTGTGTGGCACACAATAATTGAATAATAACAGTTGAGTTCACAACACAAAAGTATGTTAAAGTTCCATAATTTACATCTCCAAAGAGGTCACCCAGATAATAGATGGGTCTATATTTCCAAATAAATGGTCACAGAATAAACTATGGCAAGATTGAGGCTTTAAGGGGTCAGCAGCACATACTCAACAAAAATTTACACAAGAAGCCCCTCCCCTTGTCTCCACTGCTTCTGCCTCCCTCAGAAATTACCAAATGTTCCTTTACCCCCACAAGAAAAAGCCACCTTTATTCCAACCCCTCTCGGAAATATTCATAAGATTAAACAATGGCAACAGAGCAGCCCCCCTCCAGAGTTCCAATTAACCCACAGGTGTTGATCTTACACACAGGCTCTCTCTCCTCTGCCTCCCTTGTTGTAGGGAGAAAGACCCTCATTGCGCCTGGTCACATCAGGGCTGTCATTAAGTTTTGTGTCAACTGCAGCCTTGATCTTCACACCCATAACAAACTTGTTACCTTTTAGGTCAATTGTATCAACTATAGTCCAGTTCACCCATAACCTCAAGGGTCCTTCAAACATACTCAGCCGTAGCAGGTGTTACAGGTTACAGCCCTTAATGACAGCCCTGCACGTGACAACCTGTGACACAAATTTTTCCAGAAGAGCCAACGAATAATTTTTGTCGATCTCAACTGAACCGAAAGAAAGGCGATCGCTGGTCATCCCTATACTAATTTACAGATTGGCAAATATACCTTTGAAATTCTCCTGTCCTATTCTAAGCTTCACACAGGTCCAAAGAAATATATTATGTATCCAGCGTATTGAAGTATCACTCTGATTTCAATTCCAGCCAGTTGATTTACTAAGAAGTAAAC